AGCAAAATACATCTTAAAAATAAAAAATTCTAAAAGAATTCATATTATTCATAATAATTTAAAATAATAATAGTATAGCAAATCATGCATTTTCATTACCCAGCTTAAGAAATAGAGCATGCCCTAGTCCAGTGGTTGGCAAACTGCGGCTCGCGAGCCACATGTGGCTCTTTGGCCCCTTGAGTGTGGCTCTTTCTAAGCCTTAGGAGTACCCTAATTAAGTTAATAACAATGTACCTACCTATATAGCTTAAGTTTAAAAAATTTGGCTCTCAAAAGAAATTTCAATCGTTGTACTGTTGATATTTGGCTCTGTTGACTAATGAGTTTGCCGACCACTGCCCTAGTCGGTTTGGCTCAGTGAATAGACCGTTGGCCTGCGGACTGAAGGGCCCCAGGTTCGATTCTGGTCAAGGGCACATACCCAGGTTGTGGGCTCAATCCCCAGTGGGGGAGGAGGTGTACGTGCAGGAGGTAGCCGATCAATGATTCTCTCTCATCAATGATGTCTCTATCTCCCTCTCTCCCTCTCCTTTCCTCTCTGAAAGAGAGAGAGAGAGAGAAATAGAACATGACCACTATGTTAGGACCTTCGCATTTTCCTCCCTCCCTCAGAGGGAAGCCCTAGCTGGAAGTTTGTGTTAATTAGTCCTTTGATTTCCTTCTTGATTGTACCACCTCTGCCCATTTCCTTAAACAGTTTATTGTTTAGTGTTTAGTTTGCGCATGCTATATAAATGAATCATTCTGTCTGTATTCTTCTGAAACTTGCTTTTGTCACTCACATTGTGTCTCTGACGTCCATTCGTGTGCGTAGCTGTAACCTGTTCATTGTCATTTCTGCACAGTATTCCAGTGTGGGGCTACAGCACAGTTTATCAATCTCCTGTTGATGGACATTGGGTCGTTTCTAGGTTAGGGCTAATGCACACAGACACAAGTTGCTCTAGGGTATAAACCCAGGTCAGGAAATGCTGGGTTATGGAAAATGCATGCCTTCAATTTACACAATGCTAACAGCTTTACTAGAAATTACTGGATAGTTTTCCAAAGTGTACCTGGACAATTCTGCGATTTACATTGCTACAGCAGAGGATGTAAATTTCTCACCAAACCTTGGAATTACTGGACTTTTAAATGTTTGAAAACAAAGATAGGAATAAACTCAGATGCCTTGGAGGCCATTAAAATAGTGAGTGATTGGACTCAGGGGATGGTAGGGAGAGGTGGGGACTGCGGCAAATTGAACACGTGTGTCCTGTCTGAACTAGGTGGCCTCGGCTCTGCTCCCTGGATGTGGTCGGGATGGAGTGCAGACCCAGGGCTGCCCAAGTTCTGGAGTGTTCCAAACCAGCCAGAAATCCAGATTTTTACATAACACCTGGTTTTGGAATGTCAGTAACGATTGCAGATTTATATTGTACTAAGTACATTTGTGGGCCAAGCCCAAAGTCTCCTAGTGGATTTATTTCATTACAATTCAATGCAATTGAATTTATAGCTTTTGGAACTTACTGGAACTTTGGCAAGTGGCCACAACTCTCTGTGGCTTAGGTGCTTACGTGCTCTATAGATTATCATGCCTTACTGGCGGGGGCCTGGCTTTCCTCCTGCTGCTGTATTACTCAGACAGCTTAGTTTTCCAGAAGTGCTGCTGCCTCAGAGGGATAAGGGTAATGAGGTGCTACTCTCATCTGCTATGCAGCTAAACCTTACTCATTTCAAGCTACCGGAGGAAATCACTCCCTCCTTCATCCCTGCAACCCTCCTGTAACTTGTTCCCCACTCAGCAGCCAGATGGAGTCTTTCAAAATAGAAATCAGATGATGTCACTGTCTTTGCTGGAACCCATCGATTGATCCCCATCGCACTCAGACACAGTCCAGACTCTTGACCAAGGGCCCTTCGTTGCATCTTTGCCATGTATTTTGCTTCCTTTCCACCCATCCAACTCCCACTCAGGCTCCACTCAGGATGTTTGCACATGCTGTTCTGTCTGCCCAGACCTCCCCTCCCTCTGATCTTTCCATGGCTGTTTTCTTCTTAGCCTCCAGGTCTGGCATAAACATCATCTTGCCAGAAAGGCCTCCCCTGACCACTTATCTAAATAGCAAATGGCTCTCACTCAGCCTCTGTGGAAGTCATTTTTTGCACACACCATCTGCAATCAGCTTACATGTGTGTGTTCATATTGCTCACTACCTTCCTACCATGGGGTCAGCTCCCTGAGGCAGGGACCTGGCACTACCATGTCCCTAGCCCTTGGTGTGGGGCCTGGCATGTAATTAGCTTTTGAGTGAATGGATGTGTGTGAAGCCCCTACCATGTGCAGGACCTGTGCTAGGGGCCGTAGTGGAGTGAGACACTAAATAACTGTAGCCCAGGCTTCTGAGAGACAGAAGAGGAGAAGAGGCCGAATCATCCACAGTATGAGGCAGGAAGTGTACCCGGGTAGGAGTGCTGTCAAGATGTCCTGATACATCTGGGTTGGCTGTTTGCAGCTGGCATCTGTGTGCCCTGACAGTTGTTATATATTTTAATTTCCTTCCTTGGATAGAGCTAGGGGTGAGATCAAAGTCTAGCAGAGCAGAAAGGATTGGGGGAGAATGAGCACTGGATGCAGGGTCGGAATCCCAGCTGTGGCCTTGGGAAGTCTCAGTGTGCACAAGGGACGGATACCCCCACTCCCAGTGTCGGGAGAATCAGCATCATCCTGTGTGTGAAAGAAACTGATCAAAGCTCTGATCCATTTGGTGGTAACTGGCAACTCTTGCCAGGTGATGCAAGGCCAGGAGGTCAGAGTAGAGTCTGGGGACACAGTGGGTGCAGGACAGGGGGAGTGCTTTCCTAGCAGATGGAAGGGAGTGAGTTGGAGCCAGGTAAGCAAGTGGGGGGGGGGGTCGGGGGAAGGGCAGAGGGCTGCGATCCAGGGAGGAGCACCAGGTTTCACACAGGCCTCATGGTGTCCATCTGCCCTCTGACCCTATGGAACTTAATTTAAATGTTCTCCTCTAGATACTCTGAGCTTGAGCTGCTGGCACTCCTGTGGGCTTTCCTGGGGGAGACAAGGAATGCCCATCCCCTGTGAAATTCCCAGTGGATAAGGTGACTCCTTTGCAGGCTCATGACCTTTGGGGGCTGTGTGTGGGAACATGCCTGAGAAGGTAGTAAAGGGACCATATTTATCCCAATGGACCTGCTATATCCCAAGCCATGAGGAAACCAGATTCAGAGAGGTTAAGTGAGTTGCCCAGGGTCACACAGCAACAAGTGAGACTTGGACCCAACTTTTTTGACACCAGGCCCCAGGGGCCTGATACAGAGCACAGATTATGTACCAGGCACTGTGTGGCCATTTACATGGGCAGGTGTTAGCACATCTACTCCTCATGACAACCCTGTGAGGCAGGTAAAGTAGTTATCTTAATTTTTCAGAAGAGAAGTCTGAGGGTCAGAGAGGTCAAGAAAAAGGTGGTGAAGTAGTTGAATCAGAATGATGATAACATTTGCAGTAATAGTGGTAGTAGTAGTGATCGCTAATACTTATACAGTGATTGCCCTGTGCCTGGCACTGTCCTAAGCGCTTTGAATATATTCACCTGTTTAATTCTCACAGCCATCCTTCAAGATACAGGCTCTTTCCCCCGCCCCCCACCTCTTACAAATCAGGAAACCGAGGAAGAGAGAGGTGCAAGTCTCTGACTCCTGAGCCTGCTCTGTAATATGCCAGCTACATGGCACAGCCCCACATGCTCAGAGGCAGCCAACTCATACTTGCTTTGCTGCCCAGGAGGGCACCACCGAAACCACCTTAAAAGGTGGCAGACCTTCCATCTGAGAGGATGTGCCAACCAAGGAGGTCAAGGATGCTGTGGGAGAGGACCCAGATGGCCTGTGCCCCTTGCTCTCCATGCTGTGCCAGGGGAAGTATCCATGTTACATAACCAGTCTGACCCCCAACTGGTGGTTTTTGCAGTCCAGGTAGGTAAGTGGGTACCAGCCGGGGTACAAAAGAAGGGTTTGGCCCAGGATGCATCGGGCGTTTGGCTCCTCTAGTTGGACTGAGCCCTGAATTCTGGGAGCTCCACAGGACCCAGTCCTGCCCTGCCCTTGCCCTGGGAAGGCCGTGACCTCTCCTGAGCCAGGGCTGGGCACAGCACGGAGCTGCCTGGCAGCCAGCAAAGCGGAAAACATTGCTCTAATTGGTCTAATAGGTGCCCTCTGTGCAGCGTGCATCTGGCACAGCCCCACAGTATTGCAGGTTCCTGTCCCCCACAGGGCCCAGCTGGCCTGGAAGCCTGGTGCCTGCCAGGCTGGAGTCTGCCATGGGCCTCTTCCTTCCTTCTTTCCTCTTACATTTTTATTGAGCACCTAGTGTTTGCCAAGCCCACTCTGCCTCGGGTCCTAACTCTTGGTGTTCATCGCTTAGTTTCATCTCTTAAAGCTCCTCCCATCTGCTGTGTGAGAGAGAAGGGCTCTGACAGCTCTGGGTTCAAATCCAAGACTGCCACTTGCCCACTCTGCAAGCTCAGGCCAGTTGCTTCCCATTCTGTCAATGGGCTGACAGCTCAGCCCATTCAGGGTGTGGCTGTGAGGGCCCCACCCACGGTAAACTGAAGTCTCACCTCCTCCAGGAAGATCCCAAATCCCAAATGGCTTCTCCCTCTGGTCTCTGACCTGCACCCATCGGGTACTGGGAAACATCAGGGCTGAAAGGCTAGAAGTGTTCGTTGAGATCAACCACTCCCTTCACATATTGCCCAGGGGAACCGAGAGCTCTCTACAGACTGGCCCCCTGAGATAGTACAGTGAGCCCACGGCAGAGCCAGGGCTAGAGTCAGGGGCCCCGGATTCCCTCTCCAGTGCTCTTCCCAAAACAGGGCTTTCTTAAGGCAGCTCAGCTGATGGTGAAGCGCATGCCTTGGAAGTTTGATGGTCCTGAGCTTAAATCCCACCTGTACCACTTACCAGCTGGGGGCGAGGGGCAGGTCATTTCTTCTTGCTGAACCTCGATCTCTGCATCTGTAAATGGGGATGATAATTATATTATTGTTTGGGTATTTCTTGCAGCAGGTCCTAGGAGAAGCTGGGGGTTTGAGATCCATTTGGTCCTCTGGGACTTGTCTGGGAATAGATACTCCCCCTTCTGGGAAGCTGGGAGTGAAGCCAGCCCTGGTGAGTGGAGGAGAGAGCGTGGGCTCTGGAGCCAGATTGTCCTGGTTCAAAGGTTGGCTTTGTTCCTTCCCAGCTGTGTGACTTTGGGCAAGTTACTTAACTCCTCTGTGCCTCAGTTCCCATCTGCTAAAACAAAGTTATTATAGAAAATTTCCTTGTTGAGGATGAAATGAGTTAATACATCCTCAAAGTATACACACACTTTTAATAATTATAGAGGCAGTGTTTATTTTTTTAAATATATTTTTACTGATTTCAGAGAAGAAGGAAGAGGGAGAGGGAGATAGAAACATCAATGATGAGAGAGAATCATTGATTGGCTGCCTCCTGCATGCCCCCTCCTGGGGATGAAGCCAAGAACCCAGGCATGTGCCCTTGACTGGAATCAAACCTGGGACCTTTCAGTTCGCAGGCTGATGCTCTATCCACTGAGCCAAACCAGCTAGGGCAAGGCAGTGTTTATTAAAATGGACATTTCATTTCAAAATTGAGCTACCAGCTGTTAAAGTGTGTATACATGTTTTTAGGACACCCTGTATTTGGGAAGTGTTTGCAACAGGATCTGGTGCAAGGCTTACAGGTTAAATAAAACACAAATGCCTGCCTTGTGCTCTCACCCTGATCACAGGGAGGTTTAATGCCTTCCTTCCTAGAGAATTCGTGGGTAGGCTCAGAGCCCACGGATGGGGAGTCTGCAACATTGGCTCCTGGCCTAGCCCCTCAGCCCTCTCTCTGGGGGGCAGGTGAACTCTGGGCTGGACAACGGGTTTTCCTGAGCAGCAACCACTGGATGAGCAAAGAAAAGATCAGAATGCTTGTGTCCACTCATGATCCTTTTAAAAATTCCATTTTGAGTCTGTTTTATAATCTATACTAGAGGCCTGGTGCACAAAATTTGTGCACTGGGGGTGGGGGGGGGTCCCTAAGCCTGGCCTGTGCCCTCTCGCAGTCCAGGAACCCTCAGGGGATGTCCGACTGCCACTGCGCTCGCTAGCCATGAGCCCGGCTTCTAGCTGAGTGGCGCTCCCCCTGTGGGAGCGCACTGACCACCAGGGAACAGCTCCTGTGTTGAGCATCTGCCCCCTGGTGGTCAGTACGCGTCATAGTGACCAGTCGTTCTGCTGTTTGGTCGATTTGCATATTAGCCTTTTATTATATAGGATAATAGGCTAGTTCAATAGCATGCTTATCCTATCTAATAATAGACAAAGATTGAAATTAACCATACCTCCGCTATGCTTCCCATTGGCTAATCAGCGAGATATGCAAATTAACCGCCAACAAAGATGGCGGCCGGCAGCCACGCAGCTGAAGCGAGCAGGAGGCTTGCTTGCTCCAGTGATAGAGGAAGCCAAGCTTCCTCCCTGCTGCGGCTGGGCTCTGAGCTCCACTCTAAGCAACAAAGTTGCAATTATAGAAGCTAAACAAGCCCCAGATACCTGCTTTCAGCAGGCCGTGGCCTTGGAGCTGGAGCGGCATCAAAGTTTCAATTATAGAAGGTAAATAAATCCCAGAATTAAAAAAAAAGAAAAAAAGGAGAGGCTGGGAGCTTCAGTTGCCAGTGGGCTTGGCCAGCCTGAAAACCCTCAGCCCCTCATCCAGACTGGCCAGGCACCCCAGTGGGGACCCC